GTCCAAAAACAGTCAGTCAGACCTCGGGATTTCTCATGACCAGCCACAACCATAAAGCCGATTATCTCAAATGAGTGTCAAATCGTTTGTATACTGGATTCACTCGACAGTACAAATGACATTTGCTTTTCCTTTAGGGGATTTTGTTGTTATATTGTTATATTCGACTAGCAAATGATAGACCGTAAACGAGCTTGTTTGCCAAATGGACATCTTGATTTAAGGGGCAGTGTTTGCAAGACTAGTCATTCACAATCCGGGACAACGTGATTCGGCTACGGTGTATCCAAACGCTTTATAGTGAATATGCGATGAGGAACCGGTGATCGTGTCTTATAGATTATGGGTTATGCACACACAACACAACGCAATACCAGCAGTGCAGTCACTCAGAATAGGGCGCGCGCGCGCTCTGTTCACACTAAATTCACCCCCCCCCCANGATCCCGACGGAAAAATCCCATAACAATGTGATCCGTAGAGAACCGGCGATGGAGTATATCATGCAAAAATACCGTCAGTTCCTCTGGCTAGAGATCATGTAGACTATATTGGTCTGTATTTCTGTGGTCTACTGTGTCACAGTTCCCCTGATGAAAGATAGTTTAAGGATGACCCACAAGACGTATTGCACAGATGTTTAGTCCAAGCGGACAATCGAGATGCCGTTCCATTGCCGTTTTAAAATTTTACCATTTGGGCATATGTATGTATGCCCACGCTAAAATCCAAACACAGACCCTGTGAATCAGAAGAGGAGTGAACTATCTGAACTGATAGCATAGTCCATAGTTCTCATAAACCCTGGACGGTAAAACGCTGTTTCGAATCCGGACTTGTGAGTGCTTGCCAAGAACGGGCAGGTAATATCGACTGATCGTTATCAGTCATTGGGTTCATTGTTAGTGATTTCAAACTGCCCCTGCACCTGTTGTTTATGATAAACGTTTTTATGCGGACGATATTTGCCCGAAAGTGATCTATGGACCAATCGTTTTCGATAGTCTATCTACCACGGATTCAGAAGGCCGAAATGGTGAAGGGGACGCATTCCAAGAGAAAGACTGGAATCATTGCAAACGTACTCCACACAGTATCGCCGCATTCGAGAGGACTTGATCTTGGTGTACCAAATGATGCAGAACCCAGATCACTCATGTCGTTTACTCTTTGCCTTGTCGTCCAACACTCACCTGAGGGGGAACTCATTCAAATTAGTGGTCTAAAAGCACCGCCTAGAATGCCAGCGTCATTCATCCGCCCTGATTGGAATTCTCTACCATCACACGTCATTTTTGCACTCACAATTGATTCATTCAAGCACGAACTGAATGAAGCTTTGACCAGTCTGAAATTTCAACATTCGTAGCAGTGCACGAAACAATGATAAATTGTGACATTATTCTACTTTCTATGGACCGTGAATCGATTCATCTGTGCTAATCCGTATGGGACTAGAAAAGCAACCGCTTGTAAGTATTTCCCATAATAAAACTCCAACATTGGCATATCTTGAATCTCTAAAATAAACACCCAAACGGTGTGGTAAAAAGTCTGATTATAAACTGTCACGCGGTCGAAGTGATGCTGACCTTAGTTTTTGTACAGAGCAAGTGAGGAAGTCTGACGTCGTGAACACCACTTAATCACGCGTGCACTTCTCATCTACCCCGGGTATCTGGACCGACAGTGAGGTACCATCTCCTTGTCC